TTTTATTAGCTCTTCAATAGCTAATTAGCTCATACTCGAGATTACTTAGGATACTTTCCTCTTACTATATACTTTACCGCTTGATTTCACTGAGAAGATCAAGCACACTAGGTATTGTCTCCTCCATTCCCCATCTTGACACCACCCTGTGCCTAATAATGCCCCCTCTTGTGGTTTGAGAAACAGAGGTGAGAATCCCTTGAACCTTACGGGATTTAGTCTTAATTTATTCATTCAAATATTTATTAAAAGCACTTTTAAGTGTCAGGCACTGGGACCTGCTCTCTGTGAGTTTACAGGAGAGTAAGGAAGACCGACAAGCAAAGAGGCCTCCTCAGTCTTTCCTGTTCCTTTCTTTCACTATTGGTAATTATGATATTGTTAACAATAATAAGCAAGCCACAGGCTTGTAGATTTGGACATGCAAAAAAGGCAAAAATATTAAAATCATTCACAACTCTATCAGAGATAAGTGTTGTGAGAGTTTTGATGGCGGTTCCCTTCTACTTTTAAAACAAACTCAAGTTTACCCCAAATTTTAAAAAGACCTTCTTCAGGTAATACTTACAAAATGTTCTTTTCCAACTCTGTAATGACAAGAGAGCCTTCCTCAGGACAAAAGCTAGATTTGTGTGCTAAACAGGTGATACAAGGTCCTTACTAAGCATTTACTTCTGGGAAGATACTTCCAGGGTCTTGTTCTACGTTCTCAGCCCCTGACATTTGGTCAGAGCTCAATCAATGCTCATGAAATGAAAGAAGAAATGGATGAATGAATGATGTAGATTACTGAAACCTAACAAATCTTGACATGGTTATTAGCTCATAAATCTGGCCCTCTTTGTGCTTAAACTGTCAAGATATAGAAAGGATTCAAGGAAAAACGTTATTTCCTAAAAGGAGAAGGCCACTTTATTTTTACTAGATAGGGAGAAAAAAAATCCTGAAAAAAGGAAATAATATGAACTACCATCTCATTTCATTCCACGTTAACATCTTGGTCACAGTCTTAAAACAATTACAAAACAAAATAATCCAATTCTCAAGTAGCTATGGGTCTGGTTTAGCAAAATGCTACAGCCCGTCTCACAAGCAGTTATACCTGAATGGAAGATAGGGGGGATTGGAGCCAGACAGCAGTGCTCTGTAGGCTTCTTCTGGTGTCTTCTTCAAATAGATTACCTACAACAGACAAATAGCAACATTTAGAATACCACCAAAGGATGACACAAAACTAATAATTACTCACCAAACTTGCATTTCACTTATTCCATTTTGAGGTACAAGTGTCATGGTGATGACGTTGATCTTTAGACAGCAACTGAGCTGTAGCGTTTTGGCTTAAGGATGAGTAAGAGCTTAGAGACAGAAGGCAGATCCATCAAGAGGCCATCCAGGGCAAGGCACACTGAACAGATGGAATGGCAGAGTTTTCCCGTGTGGGAGCAGAACAACTGTACTTCCATTATTGTATTGTGCGCTCACCAGAGACCAACATGGGCCTTGGTGTCCTTCAGAGGAGATCTGCCATGAGGTAATTCAGTGCTTTCTTTGAAAGACATCTAAGGGTGAGCACAATACCCACATGAGGTCTACTGAGTTCTCTGTCTGCTCTGAAGAAAGTCTGTGGTGCTCTCTAAACATGCAATAAAATCACAACGAAACGGTGAAAATGCATGCAGGNAATTCAAACTCTGTGGACTCTGGCCCCAGAACAGGAAGGTCCCTTGTTTCCTTGAAGGTCAACTTCCAAACCAACACTAAAGATGGATGAACTCAAAGAATTAAAGTAGGTGAAAAACGCCCTTTTCCTCTAATTTTCAGCTAAAATCACTCCTAATAAGCTCATTGGCTAGTCTTCGAACATGTCAAAAGTAGTTTTTGACAAAACTTCTTTACAATTAAATGGGATACCCAAATACTGACTTGCAAACACTAACGATACAACAAACACTTCTGAGTGTCACAGCAAGCCAGAAATTCTACTATCTCTAGTCTACAGAGCTTAATGTAATCAAGAATAGATAGTAAATGGGGTTGCGGGTGGCGAATTAGGTAAAGGTTATCTTACAACTTCCAGTTATAAGATAAATAAGTACTGGGGATACAACATAAAATATGATGACTACAGTTAACACTGCTATATGGTATATTTGAAAATTACTAAGAGAGTAAATCCTAAAAGTTCTCATCATAAAGGAAAAAAATTGTAACTATATGAGGTGATGGATGTTAACTTATGCGATAATCATTTTGCAATATGTGTACGTCAAGTTATTAAGCTGTATGCCTTAAAACTTATATGATGCTGTATGTCAATATCTCATTAAAGCTGGAAAAGAAAAGAATAGGTAGTAAAGCTATCCAAATCTTCTTTTTAATTTGCCTCCTCTTTAGAGAATTTTCAACAAACTCAATCAGATAGTCCTTTCAGTTATAATAATGTACCTACATGGTAAACATCATATTACATAGTATCCTACTTAACCTGCCATTATAAATAACAACCTATGCCATAGAGATGAAAAATTACAGCACCTCAAATCAGTACCTGGATTGTTATTCTCCAGTTTTCATCCTAACATGAAAGGCATTCATGGGGCTTACCCCAACATCTCCTCCAAACCCCAGTTCTAAGGTTAAACCTCCTTCCTCAGTATTCCCGTAATACCTATCTCCTAATAAACCACTATAATTGTTTTTACACAGCCACACACTCACAAACTGTATACTGAGTTCCTTGGAACAGGTATCTAGTTGTCCTAATGATCTATAAGTCTATCACAGTGACTGGCACAGAAAAGCAATAAATAAATTCATGTGCATATTATTCCCTGGCACACAAATAAGAAAAACAGCCCAAGAGAAGAGTCAGCCATATGTGGTGGAGACTCAGCCATGCAAACAAATGATCACAATACAACACATTTACTTTAGTGGTGTATGTAGCAAATATAATGGGCCATGAATACAATGTAATATACAAAATGTAATAGGGAATTACAGGCCAAGGACCTGCCAAGCCTCTCAAGAAAAATGAGGAGAGGCTTTACAGAAGAGACGGCTCAGATAAATGTTTGTTAGATGAATAAACCCTGATGAACAGCATTATTTAAAGTCACAGTAGCCCTTCATTAGGAAGACACTAAAAATATATAGCACAAAGGAACACAGGCATTTAGTGAAGAGGGCACATAAAGATACAACCACACTTTATGGCAAGCCTTCAACATGCTCTTCATTTTAAAAAAACTTTAAACAATAAAACAATTACACTTAAATGGTAGTTCCTTTAAGGCTTCCAGTTGTTAAATAAAAGTGTTAATACA